GAAAGAATAATAGGAGAACATTAGAGAAAATAGAGAAATGTTTCATTAGAAACCATGCCATGAACAGTTCCACTATGATGAGATGAATCCCAAAGTATGTAAAAATTTTGATATGGAAAGACGCGTCCAATGACCATTAACCGAACAAGGGACGAACTATGTTGAATGCTCTTTAAGACGCGGTAGGCACTAGCACAGTCAACACGCACACCAGGCACAAACTGTCCGTCAGACTGGGTCTGATATGAGATTAAATGGTAAAAATGTATATTCAACGTCATGTGCCACGCATAAAAGTGTCATAAGTACGCAGCGAGTCCAATGGCAAACAAACACAAGTCACTGACTGTGACCTTAGGAAGTCCCAGCCCAACAACAGCCTTAGCGGATTGAGGAAAGCAGATCCCTCTATAAGAGATGACCATCGGTTGGTGATCCAAAAAGTCGACATCACAACTGATTGCATGTGGGGCTGGGATTACGGCGAGGGAATATTCATCAGCACCATGCATCTGCTTCTCATTCCACACAGTCACTCCGCGCCCATTCGAGACTATGCTGACGTCTATAACAGTTGCACGGTAATCGCGAACAGCGATTAGGTCAGGTCTGACTAACTTCGAAGTAGGTACTCTCGATTCCTCGAAGAAGGTGTATTCCGGTCGACGGAGATGTTTTGCGAGTTCCCTTGCAATCCGATTATGACGAGCACATCTGGCATCATGCGTGATCCAGCAGGATTGCAAATATGCACCAAACTCTCCGGTTGACCACAGTTTCCACGACATAAGATCGTCTGGCCAGCATGACCATGCCGAGCGCTTTCAACTCTCGTCCTGAGAAGGTTGCATCGGGGCTGGATAACGCTGATAAATATCCGCGGGTACATTTGTACCGGAAATACGAGCCTTCGATTCGAGATGGGCGAAGCGATCAACTCTCGTAAACCGCAAACGTCAACGCTGTTGTGCAGACCATCACCCCAAGCAGCCACTAGCCTCCCTTGATGTTTACGCATGCACCATGGACTCGGATCAGAAGGCTGAGAGCCCGAACAATTTTGCCAAATGCGGACTCGTTGACCACACTGCGTAGTACTCGGCACTGAGTAGAAAGGAGATTTTCCATATGCGTTCTTCGCTGCATCTGGATTGGGGTACCAAGTCCTTCACGTCGTTTACCGGCATGGACGTAGCTGATCGAGGGGTCCTTGGGTAGACGTAGCCATCCACGAATATATTGCTTGATGTAGTTGTCCAATATTTTTAGCGTGTTCCCGTGAACTTGGCCGAGCACGAGTGGATAGGTCAGCCTCGATATCAGGTAGATCCTAGTGATATCCGTTCTTTATTGCGGCTTTAGCGGGACACGCGTCAATTCTTCGAGTATTTTGAGAAGGTGCTGTTTGTGGTTAAAGACCCCTTTCTTCTTGGAAGTTAAGGGAATGCCAAACTATGTTACGGTGTCTGTCGGACCCAGAGGGGTGATTATTTCCTCGGCGAAGCGAAATGGTTCGACTGAGACTGCTGTTACCCAATGTTTCCTGACTCCACAAATGACAATCACTTTCCTCCTACGGGGTTATATTTTCATGCCAGCTCTTCCCAACTCGACCGCAGAAGCTTCAATCTTCTCTTTAAGGCTTGCTTGACTTTCTGCACACACGACCCGGTCGTCAGCGATGGCAAAACCATCTACTTAAGCGTCATGGAACTGGTATTTTAATGGCGGCAGCATCGACAATCCATTGCCATAATGAATAATAATGGGAAGAGTGTATCACCTTGTCTCATACCTCTGTGGCAATCAACCTCAGAACCGGGAAAAACTGCTACAATATTCTGATGGTGACGGCGCTCCAAACACCTCGGCAGATCTGACGACTGTGTCATGCCAAACCGAATCAAACGCTTTCGAGGTACGAACAAACGTCAAACTGAGGTTAGAAGCAGTCGCTGAAGAGTGACGAAGCAGGGCATGCAACAGCGATGTGGCTTCCAAACAGCCGTCTCGATGCAGAAATGCAATCTACGACTCCAGCGATCAGCAAGCGCCTTATGGAAACAACGAACAAGAATGATGACACGGAGGTCGGTCTCAGTTTTTCTGGTGAAGTCGGATGTGGGACCATCGGAACTAGAACATTACGGACTCAACACAGATGTAAGGGACAATCCCCAGATAATAAAAGTAGGCTGAAATACCCAGCGAGCAAGTTGGCATTGAACCGCCGAAGCATCCTGCCATGAGCTTGTTCAGGCCTGAGGCCGAATTGCCTGTTATACGGATCCCCGCATTCTTATCCTGTAATTGGCTCGATCAAGCTCCAGTTAGATGGTATTACTATGCGACTTGGTCGGCCATCCACGTGTTTCCAATAGTTCTCGGCGTAAATAGGTAGGTCACAGTTACCTTTGTATAAATCCTTCCATGACCCATCGGGCACAGCAGACGCTGCATCTTTCCACCTTTGGTAGTATAAGGTCTGGATGGCGGCGTATTTGGCTCGGCTGATCTGCTTTGGTTGACCGGGATCCGATGGGCTAACTGACAGCGGCGTTGAACTACAGTTTTTCAGGTGTGCGGAAATGTCCTGGAGTCGTGGAGGTCCAGGAGCGACAGTACTTGCTTCGGTGTCATGATGTCAGACTGCAACCCTCGGGCAAATGCCAGGTCAACACTAGCAAGCGAACGGTCAGCATGGGGATTTCCAGAGTAACACTGCGCCATCCATGGTTTGGTTAAAACAGACTCTGTAGTCATCGGCTTCTGACGAGTAGGCCGTCATTTTACCGATAGTTTGGTCAGGTCCACCAGATGATGATTCGTCCTGTTGTGCTTGCCAGTTAAGCACCCGTAACCTGGTTTTAATGCTGATGGCCGATCGACCAGGAAAATACTGCTCCAGTCTCGTGAACAGTTCGGTTTGCGTGCCACAAGATGGATATAAATTGTTAGCCAGGCGTAAGAGCGATTGTGACTCTTGCTGGGACCAGCGGGTACCGGAATACTTCACTCGGCCAAGCTTATCTGCATTGTGCTGTGTGGGCTATGTGTGCCGGCTTCGGCCAATCTTCGTCGAAGAAAGATGGGAACAATCAGCGCAGGCCAACTGAGCAACAAACCACCACTTTCATTGTCGTGAACTCGATAGTGGGCTACAAAGCCAGCTTCCGATTCGCAGCACTTGCCACAGTCCTCACACGTGAACCCGACGAGTCTTTCTGTGTATTGGTTGGGCCTGGTGCGGAGGCGCCAGATGATTCGTAGTATGCGTTGTCGAGAGTAACTAACACAATGAAACCAACGTGGTGGTTAGACCTGTCTAGAGCTGATGAACACTTAGCTCACTCTGACTGAAGTCCAGGCCACCCAGTCGGCACCACAAGGAGGTGGTTCAGCCTGCCGACTATCATTAATAAATCTTGAACTAATATTGTTGCTGTTGCTTTTATGATTCTTTAATTACTTCGGACATTAATTATCGTTTATTTTTGAAGAGCATGGTCACAAACGTGAAACTGAATACAGTCGATAAATGTGAAGGTGATACAGGGGAATTCTAGACCAAACGGGACAAGCGGCCCACCCGAATTCGTGCCCCCTACAGTCACCCAAGATGCATCCAATCTACATTAGAATGTTTGGCATGGAAAATCTCGTGTTAAGGCCATCAACAGAATAAAGGACAAACAATGGTTTATGTTCTTCAGAGCATGCTGGGCAATATCGCAGTAAAGTATCGCAAATCTTGCGTAAATTGACCGTCATGCTAGTTCTGATGTGGGAGTTAATGGCACAAATGTACACAAATGTCCCAAGTACGCAGAGATCTCAAAACCACAGGCAAATGCAAGTCACTCATTGTGAACGTAAGAAGTCCCAGTCCAAAAGCACTTTGGCGGATTGAGAAGAAAATGTCCCTCAATAAGTAATCATCATGGGGTTTATCAAAATTTTGTCATCACAGCCGATTGTATGTGGGGCTTAGATTATGGAAAGGGGACATTCATGCAAACCACACTTCTATTACTGGTTGTTGGTCTGTTCGCCGAGCTCTGCAGTTGGATTGCAAACGTTTCATCACCAATCGAGGTGACGTCATCAGTGCAGGGTTAAGTGGATGAATTCCTCCTCTTCTGCCTGTGATTATATAGCTTCTAAACAGTATTTGGTAGTTCTGAACTACCAACTACGCCGAACCGATGTTCTTGTCTTCTGTCATATGCTTCTAAATGCCGGTCGCATGTGCCTTAAGATGACTAACGAACCATGTGTAAACTTCTATTTAAACTGCCAAATGATAATTTTCTACGAGTGTATTTAAATTTAAAATCTTGCAGACATTCTTATCATGTGGTTGAGACCATTGCCGTTTGGTTCTAAAGATGGGATGTGTGCATAAAATCAGGGCTATCAAAACCAAAACCTGAGTGACCTCTCAGGAATACGTGATAACATGGAGAATATTTATCAAAACGAGCCATATTTTAGCCGCCTCGGATGCCAGTTAACTCTAAGGCATTGTTGGCATATAACTCAAAAACAATTCGGACAGCCCCGAGAAAAGAAATTTAATTCTGTATTGTCACAAGCTGGTGTGATATAGTCAAGAGTTCTAAAAATGTTATTACTTGCTAGTGAGTTGCTAATTCGCAACCTGACATGTTACCAATTCTTTCTCATTACGAGGGTTGTTCGATTCATCGTCTGTAAGTATAAAATTACAACCCAATAATACACATCGGCTAGCACACAAGAAACCATGACCTGTGAGAAAGGGCAGAGATTTTTAGGACTATAAACTTTCAAGAAATTCGGGTGCATTAGGATAAAAATTAGGAAACCAAGGCGTGGCTCCTTTAATGAAGAAGTTCTGTCACATATTCTTTGAGACGGACATTAGAAACGTTTCCTTTCTCGTATAACCACTTGATTAGGCGACCTCAGTATCCTCAATATGACAAAAATATGCAAATCGCACTGTTCTCTGCTGCATCATTATGAGACGTTTCTTTTCATTTCAAGACGAGAAAATTTTTGGCGATGGCCGGGGTGACAATTTCTATGAAACAGCTAGAGTCAATCAATTGGAAAATGTTTGGAACCGATTGGGAATTCATCGTTTCAAGAGAGGTTGGGTAAACAAATCCACCAATTGTTTACCAAACCCCATCGAAACGACAGCTAGTGTCAAATTATTTACTACATTATTGCCTTAGCGCTATATCATTCCAAAAGACGTTCATCTAATGAGGCGGCAGACACTGCTATGAAATATCACTTTTCTGGTGATGACTAAAGCTAGTGGCTTTCCGCTACCTCAGTCAGATTGGTTTTGTGATCTAAATAAACTCATCACAGATAAGTTGGCAAAGCCTTCCTAAAATTCGAAGCGCAGTGCACTTTATACGACGTCTGTCCATAAGTATTAACAGTTAAATTAAAATTTCACACTGACGTAGACCTTCCAATTTAAACTGCCTTGTTTGCCGACCCTTTCTTGTGGTTTCCCGGAAGTTAGTAATAATATTTTTCTAAAAGAAAGAACATGTTTCATACTTGGTTTCAGTAACGTTTACTCTAGGTTTGATGAAAGCATGTGCAAACACAAATGCCTTCGGAAATATCTCGAAGTAACAAGGTTCTTTACCTGTTGTATTGGATGAGAATAGGCAATCTCCAAAATGGCCATTCCAAAATGACC